AAAAGCCAAGTCCCAGAGAGGAGACAGCTGCACAGAAAGAGAGCTGTGGAGATCCACAGAGGATACCCCTCAAGTTTTCAGTTGAGTTTTTAGTAGCATATGACTATGGAGAACTTGCCAGAGGAAAGGGAAAGAACCCTTGAAAGGAGCAGACACATAGAACTCAGGTCCAAGAATAGTTCATGTTCCAAATACCCACAGAGGTAAACCTCATAATGAAAAGAAAATCAGGAAGAGCATTTACAATGATATCACTTCAGTAGTGGAGAAAATTAGCCTTAGATTAAAGGTAATACTGGTTTTACCTAACAATGTTTAAAAGCAAAAAAAAGATCAGACGATTACCAAGTCATTTAACTGCACTTCAGAACAAGGCTCAAGAATATTTATAGGAATATTAAGCATCTAACAAGGTAAAAATCACAATGTTTGGAATTAAATAAAATATCATCAGGCATGCAAAGAAGTTGGGTAATATAAACCATAATAAAGACAAAAATCAGTAAATAAACACAGTCCCAGAACTGGCACAGATAATAGAACTGTCAAACAAGGACATCAAAACAGTTACTGCAACTATATCCCATATGTTCAAGAATGTACAGGAAGGACTGAACAGGTAAAATACAAACTTGAAAGATTTTATTTTATTTATTTATTTTTTTTATTAAAGATTTTATTTATTTATTTGAGACAGAGAGAATGAGAGACAGAGAGCATGAGAGGGAGGAGGGTCAGAGGGAGAAGCAGACTCCCTGCCGAGCAGGGAGCTCGATGCGGGACTCGATCCCGGGACTCCAGGATCATGACCTGAGCCAAAGGCAGACGCTTAACGACTGAGCCACCCAGGCGCCCCTAAAGTGGTATAATATTAACTGAAGACACACTATGATAAACTAAAGATATTCCAAACATTATAGTAAACACACACAAAAAAGAAAGTTATAGCTGATCAGCCATTAACAGATAAAATTGAATAAAAATATTCAATCTAAAAAAAGGAGAAAAAGAATAACAAGCAAATAAAGAATAGACAGAACAAATAAAAAGCAAATAGTAAGGTAAAGGATTTTAAACCAAACTGGATCAGTACTTACACCAAATGTAAAGGGTCTAAATACTTCAGTTAAAAGTAATAGCTTGTCATAGTGGCAAAAATAAACAAAACCTAACTAACTATATGCTGCCTACAATAAATGCACTTTAAATATAAAGACAGAAATAAATTAAAAACAGCACGGAAAAAATCTATTAACACTAATCAAAAGGAAAAAAGAGTAGTTGTATTAGTAACAAAGTAGATTTTAGAGCAGAGATCATTCCCAAGGATAAAGAAGGACATTTCATTTTTTTAAAAGATTTTATTTATTTATTTGACAGAGAGAGAGAGACAACGAGAGAGGGAACACAAGCAGGGGGAGTGGGAGAAGGAGAAGCAAGCTTCCCACTGAGTAGGGAGCCCGTTGTGGGGCTTGATCCCAGGAGGCTGGGATCATGAGATCATGACCTGAGCTGAAGGCAGACACTTAACGACTGAGCCACCCAGGCGCCCCAAAGAAGGACATTTCATAATGACAAAAGAGACAATTTATCAGGAAGACATAACAATCCTAAATGTTTACACAGCCAATTAACATAAGTTGAAAATACATGAAACAAAGACATTGATCAAGAAGCAAGACAGAAGACACAAATTATCAGTATCAGAAATGAGAGAGGTGACATTACTACAGATTCTGTAGAATAAAAGGATAACAAGGCAATGCAGTCAACCCTTGAACAACATGGGTTGAAACTGTGCAGGTCCACTTACATGCAGATTTTCTTCAATAAAAATAGTACAGTATTGTATTTTCTCTTGCTTATGATTTTCTTAATAACATTTTCTTTTCTCTAGCTTAATTTACCATAAGAATACCGCATATAATACATACAACACAAAATATGTGCTAACTGAATGTTTATGTTATAGGTAAGGCTTCCAGTCAACAATAGGCTATATTAGTAAAGTTTGGGGGGAGTCAGAAGTTACACACTGCTATTCAAATGCATGTGAGGATGGAAGGCAAAAGGATGACAGAAGAGAATTGTTCCTCCTTTTTATCTTGCTGTTCCTGTCTGCATAACCCCGGCAATGACTCCTTATCTTGTGTTATGCATTAAATTGTGCCCCCCAAAAGATTATTAAAGTCCTAATCCCCAGTACCTATGAATGTGACCTTATTTGAAAATAAAGTCTTTGCAAATGATCAAGATGAGATGGACCTTAATCCAAGGATTGGTGTCTTTATATAAAGACGAAATATGGACACATAGACAGATTAAGGACATAGGGATATGATATGAAGACATAAAGGGAAGTCCATCTACAAACCAAAAGAACCCCTGAGCCTACCAGAACTAGGAGACGCACAGAACAGATCCTCCCTCATATCTCTCAGAAGGAATCAACCCTGCTGACACTTTGATTTCAGACTCACAGCCTCCAGAGCTGTGAGGGAATACATTTCTTTTGTTTTATTTTTTATTTATTTGTTTATTTATTTTTAAGATTTTATTTATTTATCAGAGAGCGAGAGAGAAAGAGAGGGAGAGAGGACAAGCAGAGGGAGTGGCAGGCAGAGGGAGAAGCAGGCTTCCCGCTGAGCAGGGAGCCCAATGCGGGGCTTGATCCCAGGACCCTGGGATCATGACCCAAGCCGAAGACAGCCGCTTAACGGACTGAGCCACCCAGGCGCCCCCATCTCTGTTGTTTTAAACCACCTCGTTTGTGGTAGTTTGTAATGGCAACCTTAGAAAACAAATACATCCTGTCAGTGGCACGTGGTTCCAGTCTCCAGCTTTCTTCTAGCACTCCCATAATCAACTACACTTCACCATCTTGGAGAATCGCCACCCGGGCTGGGCCGCGGCCCTATCTCCGAGTGTCCTCGGGGCTCTCAGTCAGCTTCTAGGTTCTGGTAATCCTAATTCCTCTTTTGTTCCGCAGTCCCTAAGGATGGGAGCTGCTCCAGGTTTCTTCAGTGTTCTCTTTTTGCTTTTTCAGTTTCCTGACACCCATTTAACCAATGCCTTATATCTAATTCACTCTGTGGATATAGGAAATAACGAGTAGTTTCTCTACTTCTGGTAAGAACCCCAGGCGATATTCATTATCACGTGGAAGCCAATCTGAAACCTAGTTTACAAAATTCTAGGCAATCTGTGCCCTGCCCCTGGCTACTTCTCTGGCTACATTTCTTGTCATTTCCTCTCTCACCCACTCTGTTCCAGCCACGCTGGTCTCTTTGCTAATCCTTAGACATACCAAGCATGCTGGCTTCGTGGCCTTTGACTTGCTGTTCCTTATGCCTGTAGACATCTGCATGCATGTGGCTCACTACTTCAAGTCTCTGCCCATACCTCTGGAGACATCTTTCCTGACAATGTATACAAAAGTATTATTTCTCATAACTCCTGCCTTCTCGTTCCGCATAATCCCTTTCCTCTACAGCACGCATCCCCTCCTGGCATATTTTATATCCATTTGTTATCTACTGCCTTCTCCAGTAGCATGCAAGCTCCGTGAGAGAATCATTGTGCACTGCTGTGCCAACTTTTGAAAGGAAGACTGAGTAACTGTAGAAAAACCCTTACCAGCAGCCCTACCACTGCGCCAGTGTGCTTGAACTACAATGAATCTTTAATTTTTAAAAAGATGTGTGATTATTCTTTGGCTTTATTGGCTGCCTTTCCTCCATGGGGCCACACTTTGTAGCAGCATGTCCTGAAATTCCTTCATGACGGTGCACTTTAAGTTGTGTGTTCCCTTCTGTTTAACAATTAAGATTTTGGGGGGACGCCTGGGTGGCTCAGTTGGTTAAGCATCTGCCTTCAGCTCAGGTCATGATCCCAGGGTCTTGGGATCGAGTCCCGCATTGGGCTCCCTGCTCTGCGGGGAGCCTGTTTCTCCCTCTCCTGCTGCTCCCCCTGCTAGTATTCTCTATCTCTCTGTGTGTCAAATAAATAAATAAAATCTTAAAAAAAAAAAAAAAAACAATTTAGATTTTTTTTATAAGGCAAGTATTTCCTCCATTTTAAACCTTTAAAGGTATTAGTTGAGCAAGACTGGTCAGTCAGCAGAATTTATGAAGAGACTGGTCATTGCATGATGAGGCTGGTGTATGACACTGTATGAGTGGGATGAGGTGTATGAAATGTATGACACTGTATGATTAAGACTCCTTGCTGGGGGAGCCAAACAAGAAGGAAATGTAATTCCTACCCTCATAGAGTTTAAAATCTCATGAGTATTTAACTCCCATGAATGAAAAAGTCTCGACAGTTACCAACAATGCACAAATGAAAACAAAAACATAACACCTAAGTGCTGGTTAGGTAAGACAACAATGGCCATTACCATGTCCATTCAAACTACAATAATCCCTAGAAGTTGAGTAAAAACCCAGGATTTAAAGAAAGAGACAAAGATCAATGAGGATTAGGTACTTGCAAAAGGAAATGACAAATACATGAATATGACTTCATTAGTTACCTAGAGTTTATAAACTCCACTATGAATTTAACCTCTCTCCTTATTTACCTCTTTATTCTGTGCTTTCCCTTAAATGTCTCATATTCTATTCTGAATTCAAATGCTTCTATACTGTAATAGGGTGGAGTTACACCATAAACTCGTTCCAACTCACCTCAGGTCTCAAATTGAAATGTCATTTTCACAGACTTTTTCCAGTCACTTCATCTGAAATAAGTGTGCCTTGTTATTCTCCATCTTGGCATGTCTCTCACAGGCCTTAGCACAATTGATAAAATCATAAATTATTCTGTGGCCTTATCATTTGTCCTCCTTGCTAGATAATAAACTACCTGGAAGCAGGGTGTATTATTTTTCATTACTGTATACACATTGCTCGGCACAGTGCCTGGCACTTAATACATTCTTTGTTGAAAGGTAATAGTATGTATTTCTGTCAAGACCAGAAATTCATATATAAAAGTGATTCCGATACCCAAAATAGTTTTATTTTCACCATTTACTAAGTTTAAGTTGTGCTAATTTCTGATACATAGAAATGTGTAGCCACGTAACTATATATACATATATAAATACATACAAACATAATTCATATCCATAGTAAAATTTTGAGCTTTATCTATGAAATTAATTTCAATTTGGGTCAAATATTTCATCTTTTACAACAAACCTAATCTGCTCATGAGAATCGTCATTCCATCTGAGGTCAGGAATCCTGGGTAGAACTGGGATATGGTACTGGGATGGTCAGAACTGCCCCTCGCCCATACAGGGTGCCTTGGTACAACTTAGAAAAGCCACATAGTCTGAGTAGACACAATCACACACCCATAAACCCGGCTTGGTGAGTGGAGCCTGGCAGGATTCCAGCTCTCACTGGCTGTCCCAGCCAGGTGCCCTTGTACAAGGCACAATAGGTGGCCATCCTAGAGGGGGCTGCTCGGTGGTGATGCAAGCAGAAAGGGGTCATCAGGCCACTCTTGTATAGCTTTACTCCTTGCTCAAAAAGACTGATTTAATTTGTCTGGCTGAGTTTGGTCAGATAGGGGGTCTTTTCTTCTTGGAACCACTTCCGTTGACGTAGTTGAAGAGAGTGATCTCCTTGAGGGAAGATCATTTTCATGTTCAAGTGTGCACATGTTGTGCCATGTCGAAGTGGACTTTCAAGGCTTAATCTTAAGAAATAACCCAATATTGATTCTTGATTTCTTGATTCCTAAAAATTACGCTGTCAAGCTGGCTCTAGGTGAGCTATGCAATTTCCCCCTGCAAAAAAAGAAAGAAAGAATCAGAAGTTAGTTCACTTCCATAGCACTGCTTAGTGACTTTTTGGAAATTATATCAGTGGCACTGAGAAGAAGCTCAGCTATCTCATCAGTGATCTGATTACTGACTGTCATGACTGACAACATATGGGATCAATTCTAGCTCCTGTGTAGCAAGAAAGAACATGTTTGTCTCATTTCAGTAATCTTTTATAAATTCTAATTCTTAAAACGTAGGGTCACAGGTTTTAAGAGCCACATAATTTTTTAAAACCAAAATTAATTTACCTTTTCAATGTCCTTAGTCTCGAAGTACAAACCATAAGGAAGGTCTGTTCCAAAACTACTAAGATGAATTCATCACTTGGAGTGAGAGCTCAAACCACTGAAATATAATTTTAAAAGGATTTTTATTTTGGAAATTGAACATAATACTGGTTATTTGGGAGTAAAGAACTGGACAGTGGAAAACAACCTAGATTGGATCCCTGAGTCCTGGTTTTTAGGCTACCTAATTACATGAGATTGTGCAAGTGACTTAATCTTGATGGAATGTCTGTCTTCTCCTGTTTATTAAATGAGAGTTTAAAGTCTTAAGTCCTTATAGCTCTAAGATTTATTTTATATTAAAAGTTCTCAATGCAGGAAGAATGTCAGATAAGCAGTCTGTGGGATCAGAAGTAGCATTTGTGATCACACACATAAAGAAGTCATGAGTATACAACAGCCCCTGAGAGAAATGGTAAATATGCCATCTTGGACCTACACTGAGCTCAGTACTGGACCAAATATCGCAGCAGATTTTTCAGTTATTCTAATCAGTCACCTCTTCGGGGAAAATCCTCGCTCCACTAGTAAATCAGGGTCCAGAAATCGAAAGGGGCAGAAGTCTTATCTAGCCACTGCGGCCACTTTAACAGTAATTCGTTTAATCCGCTGTCCACCTCCACCATCACCAACTTTCACGTTAGCTTGGCGAAGTTTATGTCCGAGAAGTGAAGCAAATCCAAATATGGGGAACATTCTTCCATTGCCAAAATGGGAAATCTTGCCTTATCTCCTCTTCAAAATCCTATCTACCAGAAAATCTGCTCCCCTGGTAAAAATACTCAAATGGGAAGAAAGCACATTTTGTGTGCAATCCCATGTAGGCTCATCCTCATGCCAACTTGCGGGGATCCCGTAAACGTCAAGTCACCACTCTTGATAACGTACAGATCTTTTTAGAAACACTTTTACACAGACTTTGTCTAGCTCGGGGAAAGGTTAATATCTAGGTACACGGAATGCGTTGGGCTCGCAAACCTGCTACTAATTCTCCCTCCAGAACCAACGCCTCCGTAGCCTCTGTATTTACACCCCCCGGGGAAATCGCCCCAGGATCCTCCCCGCTCCCCCCCCCCCCATTTAAAATGAACGCTGATTTCGCGGCCAGTTTCTTCTCTCCTCCATCTGACAGGGAGGAACCTGCGCTCCTGCGTTCTGGGGAGCTGCGGGCCGGGCCCAGATGAGTTCCAGGGCACAGGTGGGTCCCTAGGAAGGGGCGTCCCGGGCCAGCCCTCCAGGCTGGGGGCCCCGACACCCCAGCCCACGCATGCACACGCGACTGTGCCACTTCAGGAGCGCGGAGCACCTTAAGCAAGGATGGGTACTTCTTCTCAGTCTTCAAACCGTCTTAACCTACTCAGCGGCTCGCAGCATTTGGGTTGTCCCCCCGCCTCTGATTCACACCCCAAGGAAGAGCTTTACCGACTCGAGCTTCACGTTGAAAATCACCGGGGAACAGGGGGAGTCCGTGCGGCCAGGAGACGGGAAAGGGACCGAAAACCTCCCTCCCGCCAACTCCAGCCCACTCGGTGCATCCTCCCCCCGCCCGGGGCGAGGGGCGGGCCGGGGGTGGGGGGGGAGGCCCTGGAAGGGGCCCCTCCCTTTCTCACCTCCAGCGGCCCACTTTTACTCACTTGCTCTCCGAGCCTCGGCTTGGCCGCCTTTACCCAGGGGTAGTGCGGAGGGGCTGAGGGGAGGAGAGAGGAGCCAGCGAGCAATCTCCGTGCCGCGCCCTCGCCCCGGGCCAGCGGGCCGAAAGACCAGGGCCTCGGACGCCCCCCAGCCGCGCGCCTCGGGGAGGCAAGCGCGCTCGGTCCCGCGCCCTCGACGCTGGCTCCAAGGGCTCCACCG